TTAAAGTATTATATTTGTGTTATAAAGTATTATGATGATATAATGTATTATTTTGTAATAACAATAATAATAATTATATTAGTTTAATAATAATAATAATAATAATAATAATATAATAATAATAATAATAAAAGTTTTATAAAAAATAATATTAGTAATAATAATATTAGTATTAAATCAATTTAATGATGAAAAATTAAATCTTAGGATAGGATTTACCTTAGGACATCTTGCTTGACTTGGCTTGCTTGGCTTAAATGTTATAGGTAGGGATATGAGAAATGGGTGAGAAGTTAATATAAATTAGATATTTGTATTATATATATTATATAAGTTTGTATATATATATTAGTAGCCAACTTACTCTAAAGGCAACTTACTTAAGTTAGAAAGCTTAAAAATTACAGAGAGCTATTTTATAGGAGTGAAAGGAAAAGAGAGAGAGAAAGACGCTTGGACCGGTGTAGACAATTTTACCCGACTACGCGCAATCGGCGGATTTATTTTAAATCCATAAGGCAAGTTATTATCTATTTTTCCCCTTTGAATCCATAAATTATTCATTTAATTTATTTCGGGTTTTTTAGAGACTAGAAACCGTGCTAGGAGTTTCAATAAATTATTTTTAGTTTATTAAAATAATGTGTTTTAATTATTAAAGAAGTTAGTTATTTATTTATTAGCCTATGTAATTAAAATATAGCTGAAAATAATTAAATAAGGCTTTAGGGATTTTTCTAGAATTTTCTAGATTTTTCCGGGGCTTTTCTGCAATTTCCGGCGAGCCTCCGGCGAGGATTCCGGCCACCGGCAGTGAAGAAGATGACCGGAGTGATCCGGTGTGATGCGGCGCATGGTAGGTTAGTGCGCGCGTGCATCCTGGCCATTGGTAGAGTCTAATTGATCCGGTGCATCGCGGTCCATGCTACCGCGGTACACCCGGATCCATGAGCACAGGATTGAGTGATGAGAGGGTGAGATGATTCAGTGTAGTGCACCCATAGTAGGATGATGCAACCACCGAATCAGGAGCCGCCGTGTCAGCAAGTTACCATTAGTGCGCGCGTGGCAGCGCGTGCGCGCGCGTGGAACGCTCCAGACGCGCGTGGGAGCGCGTGCGCGCGCGTGGCTGATGCCAGACGCGCGTGGAGGCGCGTGGGAGAGTGGGAAAGCTTGGCGGCGCGTGTGGGGAGCTCTGGGAGGCGCGTGGGGGCGCGTGAAGGACCCCTACAGCTACTGGAAAAGTCCATAATACCCCTAGGGACTGTTTTGTAAATTCCAGAACCTTAAACTTGGATTTTTAGGTACTGTGTTGGTATTTACGGGTTTAACGGGCCACGAAATTATTATTTTAACACCCGTTACTTATTCTTATGGCCGATTAATCTTTTCTAAGCATTTATTGGCTCGTTTACAGTACGGATACTAATGTGATTTATTTAACGACATTGTTAAATATAAATAGTGTTTCAGATAAATTATCCATGATATTTTATGGGATGTTTATACTGTTAAATGATATATAAACCATGATTATTATGCTGTGTGCATTTCAGGAAATAAATGGACTGTTTAATTATGTCGCATTTATATTATATGGATATGTTGCCATATAGAACCATATGAGCTGGCTAATAAGTTTAGACTCATTTATACCTTATGCATTCGTTGCGATAGACAGATGTGTGGCTGTCGAGGTATGTGGTTTAATATTATTGGCATGTATTGCCTAATTGACATACTCGGTATATTTATTAATATTACTGGCATGTGTTGCCTAATTTGTATGCTCAGTATATTCATCAGTACTTTGAGAGGTGTTAACACTGTGTAGTTCGTTATAGTCTGTGTTGTCAGTACCGTGCACCATGTATAATAGCTGATTTCCCGGGTAGGGAAAGGCGACACTTAACCACCTAGTGTGAGTCTAAGTGATCACCGTCTATTCCGGTTGAGATCATGTTATACATTGGATAGTTCCCTTAGGATGTATACAGATATAGTACTCAACCGATTCATAATGATTAATTTATTTGATTCTCTGATTTGGGTCATAGTAGAGAGGACTTGCTCGTGGGGTTGACCCACCATTGTTGTTATTTCAGGATACGGTCAGTATCCGTTTCAAGGTTGAGGTTAGCAGTGTGGGACCACCATCCGAACTCATCTACTCTTACGATCCAGTTCAGGGTAAAAGTTTTACGTATTACTTCAGTTTCAGTTTTTATTTACTTTTGACGTCGAACTCTCAGGTTTATATTTAGGGATCCTTGACATAGGATTTCCAAGTTGTAATGGAGGACTGTATTTAAATAAAGGATGGATGGATGTTGTATTATTTAATGTTTCTTTCCTGTCTAAATTCTTTTATTATCATCATTTTGTATTCCATGCTTGTATATTGCCAATTGTTTTTGATGTCCCTCGTTTTTCGTGTATAAGCCTGATCAACTTATGCGTGGAAAATGTGGGGGTGTTACAGTTACCATCCACCTACCAGGAAGTTCTGTCTCTATTGATGTCACTTTTGAAGAAAAAAATACCATATTTCACTCAGCCTTATCTTCAGGGGGAGGAGTCTCTAGCATTCATTGAAGATAAGGACAGAGACTTTCCACCTGTTCCGTTGGACTCCAACCCAGTTTTTGTGCCAATTCAACCTATACCTCCTGAACCATCATCACAGCTACCTCCTGAACCATCATCACAGCCCGTTTCTATGTCAAATACTACTCCTATTCAAAGTCCAATGACAGGGAATAATGAACTTCGTGACTCTATGAGGTTTTCGCAGGTGTATTCAAGACAAAGAGACCGAGGTCCTAATCCTGCGCAAGTCCAAGATTCAACGCCTAATCTTGAGAATGAGGTAAATACAGCTCAGAAACTCCACATGATCATGATATTCCCATTGCCATTAGGAAAGGCACAAGAGAATGCACTAAACACCCATTGTACCCTTTAGCGAAGTTTGTGTCATTTAAAAAATTCTCACAAGCACATAGGAGCTTCCTAGTCAGCCTAAACACTATTCATATTCCTGATACATTATCTGAGGCATTATCTGATGAGAAATGGAAAGCTGTTATGAGAGAAGAGATGCAGGCACTAGAGAAGAATCAAACGTGGGAAATTGTCGACCTACCACCAGGAAAGAAGACTGTAGGATGCAAGTGGGTGTTTACAGTGAAGTACAGGTCAGATGGATCTTTGGAGAGATACAAAGCCAGGCTCGTGGCAAAGGGATACACGCAAACCTATAGTGTTGACTATCAGGAGACATTTGCTCCGGTGGCTAAAATGAGTACGGTAAGAGTCTTGTTGTCACTAGCAGCCAACTTCAATTGGTACTTGGAACAATTTGATGTAAAAAATGCTTTTCTTCACGGTAATTTGGAGGAGGAAATATACATGGATATCCCTTCAAGCTTCAAGGGAAATCTGAGCAGCAATAGGGTTTGCAAACTGAAGAAAGCGTTGTATGGCCTGAAGCAATCACCAAGGGCCTGGTTTGGAAGATTTGCCAAAGTAATGCTTGCCACAGAGTCAAGGGGATCAAACTCTCTTTATTAAACACTCAGATGCAGGGGGAGTCACGGCTCTTTTGGTATATGTCGATGACATAGTTGTGACAAGAAATGATGAGAAGGAGAAGGAAGCCTTGAGAAAATGCTTAATTAGAGAATTCGAGATAAAAGAACTAAGAACATTGAAGTACTTCCTAGGAATTGAAGTAGCCCATTCCAGAGAAGGCATTTTCATTTCACAACAGAAATATGTAACTGATCTTCTGAGGGAGACAGGGAAGCTAGCATGTAAACCAAGCTCCACACCGATCGATCCAAATCACAAACTCGGGGAAGCAAGTGAAGATCCAGCCGTTGACAAGGAAAGGTACCAGAGATTAGTAGGGAAGCGTATATACCTTGCTCACACAAGGGCAGACATTGCATATACCGTGACCGTGGTTAGCCAATTTATGCACAACCCAAGAGAAGTTCACCTACAAGCAGTCTACAGAGTACTACATTATCTAAAAACTAGTCCTAGCAAGGGAATTTTATTTAAAAGGAACACTGGATTAGTCTTGGAGGCATACACTGATGCAGATTATGCAGGCTCACTCATTGATAGACGTTCCACCACGGGTTATTGTACTTTCCTTGGAGGCAACCTTGTAACATGGAGAAGTAAGAAGCAGAATGTGGTAGCTAGATTGAGTGCGGAGGCAGAGTTTAGAGCAATGGCTCAAGGAGTATGCAAGTTACTATGGCTCAAGATAATTCTGGAAGATTTAAAAATCAAATGGGAAGGACCAATGAGGTTATTTTGCAACAAGAAGTCTGCCATTAGCATTGCTCACAATCCTGTTCAAAATGAAAGAAGAAAGCATGTGGAAGTAGATAGACATTTTATAAAGGTGAAGTTGGATAGTGGCTTAATTTGTCCTCCGTACGTCTCAACCAATGGTCAACTTGCTGATGTGCTTACAAAAGAACTAGGAAGTGCAGTGTTTCAAGAATCTATTTCCAAGCTGGGAATGAAAGATGCATATTCCCCAACTTGAGGGGGAGTGTTGGAAAGTAGAAGATTTATTCCCTCCATAGGTGGATTCGTTAGGAATGTATTTTATGTGTATCATTGACTTTCCTAGAATCATGGGATAACAAGTTAGAGAATCCCACTAATATAGAAATTCATTCTAATTCATTTTTAGGAAAGTTAGGAAGGTTAGTTTCCTATTTTATCTCCCTGTGATTAGCTCTGTACAGGCTGTAATTTGTGTATATAAGCCGTGTATTGGCTTTCTCAATTAATATACAATTTTAATCTTTTCTCCTAAATTTGTCAGCATCAACCTGAAACAAACCAATAGTATGTTTCCACTAATAATAATATCACTCTTAGAATAAGAACATACAAGAACAACTCATGCAATGTTAGAACTATATTGAAGTGCTTAGAAACCAAACCAACAACACATGAATTCGCAAACTTACCTTACCGCTAACGCACACAACATCTCCTTCTTTATATTTCTCCTGAATACTTTTGAGAAAAGGCAGAAATGCAAAACGAGTACCACGAAAAAATTTCTTCAAATGTAAATATACAATTCTTGTGTCTTGACTTTTAACATCAACCATAAGTTCAGAAGTTGATTCACAGTCTGCAACTTCACAACCCACGACCACCTCAAGAAATGAGAAAGAAGGACTGGTCCTAATTGCCCTGCATGAAAAATATGTTGTCTTACCAATATCAAATTAAAAGCTGTTAATGTACTATTAAGTAATCTTTTAATTGCTCAAAATTTTAACACAATGAAGTAAATGAATACTATTTTATACAAGCTCAGACAAATACTCACAAGCACAAAAACGCATATATGACATGAAAAAACACACTGGTACAACTTTCAACATATTGTACTGACATAACACTTTCTATCTTGTTTTAAATATGAAACTTAAATTACTTGACCCAACATGACCATGAATGCATAGAAAATTCAAAAACAAAAGGAGTAGCCAAAACAAAAAAAAAAAACACGAATGCTTTAGTCCTTCCCATTAAAACGAATTAAACTATGTTAAAATTTATCAAAAAGGAAAAAATATATATGTTAAAATTTATCAACCTTCAGCCAAACCGGGCATCTCAGAGTAGTAGTAGCCCCGTGCGAAAGAAGATTTTCAATCTCGTTCGAGAACTACGATCATCATAGACTAGTAAGCAGGAAATTGAAGTAAAATATGTGAGAAATGCTTTAAAAGTTCTGAAAAGATTTATCTAAGCCACTTCGTTTCTTTTTGTCCAAGTCACTTCTGTTTTTTGTCCAAGTTGCTTTTCTTTTTGTCTAACTCACTTCCTTTTCTAGGTCTGTGTATTCTGTATAAATACCCTTGAGATATATGAAAGTAAAGGTACTTTTTCAACCATTTGTCAATTTGGTATCAAAGCAAAAAGAAAGGAATTTCCACTACTTTCTTTTTCTTTTTGTAACCCTAATTCTAAAGACCTGCAACAGCTGTCATCTATCTTCTTTGTGATGCTGCTGCTTGTCTTCAATACCTCTTAGCCATGATCCATGGTAGCCAAAACAACCACTGATTCTAACTCTCTAACCGAGATTTCATCTGACAACAAGAAGTCCTCCACTATGACTATTCACGAAACTTCTTCTCCCATTCCTATTAAATTGGACGGTACTAATTATCGTGTTTGGTCTAAGATTTTGGAGATGCATATTGCTGGTAGACAGAAAAAGGGGTATATCACAGGGAGAAAGGTTGCACCTGCAAAGGATGATCCAAGCTATGATGAATGGGAGGCTGAAGATGCCCTAGTCAAGTCTTGGCTTATCAATTCCATGACGCTTAATCTGATGTCCCACTTGGTTCAATGTGGAACGGCCAAGGAGGTTTGGGATGCGGTAAAGAGAAGCTATCTTGATGTCTCTGATTCTTCTCAGGTTTATAAACTGATGAAGAAGTCCTTTCAATTGCATCAGGATGGTCGGCCTCTTGTAGAGTACTACAATGAGCTAAACTCAATCTTCAAGGAACTTGATTATCGAAGACCAAATGATATGACGTGTGCAACTGATATTGAGAAACAGAGGAAGCGCATTTATGAGGATCGGGTCTATATGTTGCTTGCAGGTTTGGATCACAGTTTGGATCAAGTCAGTAGTCGTGTTCTAGCTACCTCTCCTTTACCAAGCCTGGAAGAAGCATATTCTCTAGTTCGTCGTGAAGCACAGAGACGAGTCACCATGGCAATAAAGGATCACTCAAAGGCCTCGGCTCTTGCTGTCCAAAAGATTTCCCAACCAGCTCCTCCTTCTACCGACTCTACTTCTCGTCTCTGCACTCACTGCAATAGTACAAGACATACGGTTGATGTTTGCTGGAAGAAGCATGGTTATCTGGACTGGTTCAAGCTTAAGCAAGCTGAGAAGAAGAAGAAGAAATTTGCTCAGGTTGCTATCACCGACACTTCTCCATCTTCTGCTTCTCATGTATCTCGAGTGTCTTCTCAAGGAGGTAATTCTGGTTTGGCCTTTATTTCTACTACGTCTAACACTTGGGTTATTGATCCCACTTTTTTTTTTTTTTTTTTTTTGATAAGAAAAATTGTATTAGAAAGCGTTCAAAAAGGGAACGCATCCCAAGAGATATAAAAGGATCGAAATCAAATAGGAAGAACTATGGACCCAAAGAACCCATAAAATCCACGATTTCATCTAAAGATATACAATTTCTCCCCATCACCCAACTAAAAAGAGAGCTAATAATAGAAAATTTCAATGCTCCAATAAGGATTCCTACCCATCAAAAGATCTTTTATTCCACTCTTTCTAAATACTCCACCAAACACAAAGGGGGGTAGACTTCCAACAGTCACAAGCGTGGACCCCCACACTGTGGCCCCTCCAAACGTCAATCAAATCCCTTGAAGTTCAAGGCATAACCTAATGAACTCCAAAAAGACCAAAAATAAGACTCCAGCAGTCATGAGCCACAGGGCAATGCAAAAGAAGGTGAACCACAGACTCTCCATCAATTTTACACAGACAACACCAGTTCACAGTGATATATCTTCTCTTTCTCAGATTATCTAGAGTCATAATCTTGCCCCAAATTACAGTCTATACAAAAAAGGCCACCCTGAGAAGAGCCTATGAACGCCATACCGTCTTCCATGAGAAATTTGAACTATGAAACTCGTCGAGGCAAAGGAACAGAGAACGGACTTCAAACATCCCCTAAGGACAGGGCACCCAAACCAAGGAATCAGACCCTCTACCTCCACCTCCTATCTATACAAAAGATTCAACAGGCCAAAGACATTGTCTAGTTCGCAATCTTGAAAAAAAAGGCCAAAAATGCACAATCCCATGTAAGCCTTCCGCTCTCAAGCCGATACAGTTTACTACCATAGCATGTCTGTCTATCCACAGCTATCCTATAAATTCTTGGGAACAAACAAGACAACAGGCAATAACCACACCAAGAATCCTCCCAGAACCTGACATCCCTAATCCCAAGACGGCCTATCTGAAGAGGCCGACAAGATGATACTTGAACTCCTCCCCTCGACCACCCTAGAGAAAGTTCTGTTAGGCTCTCAAGTCTTCCAACAATAGTGGACGGAATCCGAAAGAGAGAGGAAATATTTTGGGAGGCTAGACAAAGTTCTCTTCAAAAGAGAAACCTGAAAGATATTGCTTCTTCCATCAAGCCAATCTTCTCTCAAAACGCTGAATCACTGGATCCCAAATATCCACCCTATGTTGTTCACATTGTCAACCAGTTTGTATCCTTTCCTACTACTATTCACCGGGCAGCGGTTCTTTGTATCTTGTGCTATCTTTGGGATACTTTGCACCAGAGTTTATTGTTTTCTTCTACATCAACTTTCCTAGCTCTACCGTATCTTTTGTTTCATTTCTCCAGGAAAAATCACAAAAACTTTTTTGATTATGGATCTACTACCAGAAATTCAATGCGTAATCTTAGCATTCAATGTGTATTCAACCATTTCGAGCTTCAAGCTTTTTCTGATGCTGATTGGGCTAGGGATTCCATAGACTATAAGTCTAGGTTCTTTGTTCTTTTAGGAAATTCTCTAATTTCTTGGAAAAGTAAGAAACAAACAGTTAGTGTGGTTGCGGTTGTTGCTTGATTATTTGGGTGTTCCTTTATCTGCTCCAACGCCTATGTACTATGATAACAAGAGTTCTATTCAGATTGTACATAACTCTATTTTTCATTAGCGTATGAGGCACGTCAAGATTGATTGTCATTTTGTGCGCCATCATCTTCAGCTTGGCACCATTTCTCTCCCTTTTGTTTCTTCTACTATGCAGTTGGCTGACTTCTTCACGAAGTCTCAAACTATTATGCATTTTTGTTTTCTTCTTAGCAAACTCTCAATGCTTCTCACTGTCACATCGTGAGTTTAAGAAGGGGGAGGGGGGGTGTCAGAGAGTTATTATATTTTTTGTACTTGTTTTATTTATGTATTTTTCTCATTTGTTAAGGGTAGCTTAGAATTTTCCTTTATTTTAGTTAGGGCTTATATCTTTATTATGTTAGTCACTTCTTTGTATTTTATTATTCCGTAATACAAGATACAGAGTTCCTCCAAGTCTATTCTGATTGTAAAAAGCTTAAAACTCATAAAATTCAAGACGCCTTTACGGTGCATAGTAAAGTGTCCATGGTTTTATTTGGATCATCTTTCTGTTCTTATTTTTTTGGCACCAACACAAGAACATGTTTGATCGGTACTTTCATGGAAACAAAACCATGAACATGTCTATTTACTTGTACATCCAGCATTCTCATCAAGAAGATCAATAAATTTTTTAAAGAAAATTCTAATTCACCTGGATGATAAGACTCTGCCAATAAAAATCAAGTATTTCCCATCTTCAATTCCAATCTGTGCATTCTGTAGATCAGCATAGGTCCGAGGAAAATGATGCAGCAATTTCCGCAACTAAAGGGAAACAAAAAATAATAATTGTCATCCAAGCCTTCACAGGTATGTCGAAACCTAATAAAAGAATGATTTTCACATAATTTCTATAGCCCACCGTGTGGAAGCCACAATTTTCCAGCTGATTATACTGCCTCTTACTCAATCCAGATATGCAACTGATAGTTTTGTCGAGAATCAACTCAATGGATGCAACATTTTGACGGGTTCTGAGCCCATCTCGAGTAGAAGGTTCCTCTGTGGTGAATTGCAGATCTGATTTTGGTTTAGTCTCCCAAGTAGAGGACTGAACAGATTTAAGCGAAGGATATGAATTTTCTTCTCTTAATACCGATGAATTCTCATTTGGAAAGCTTGGATACTGAGAAGGCCATGTTTCAGACAGACTACTGGTGCCAACCCACTTTGCACCCGGAGAACTGGGGAGAAATTCTTCACAAACTTGGGCTGCTAAAAGACTACCATTTTCAGAGTAACACGTGGTCCCATCAAATAGTTCCAGCATAGGAGATCGCCCCAAAATGATGGAAGGAAATTGTTTACATGCCAAGGAGACATCAAAGTCATCTACTGCATCTTTAAGTGTTAAACCAGATTCCTCTTGAGCTCTTTCATTCTCGATGAAATCAGGGAGACCATCGTAACCCAACAAGACAGACACCTATAAGCAAATTAAATTGAAACCATAATGAAAAGTTACAGTGAGAAAGCAAATCAAAAATCATGTACACCATTTACTTAAGACAGATACCTATAAGCAAAGCAAAATGCAAACATGTTAAAGGATTCCGTGAAAAGCAAAATATACATATAAAAAAGAAAAAATTAAACATCTATAAAATGCAAAAAAACCGAACATCATGTAAGCACCGAAAGGAATAGAAGCATTAAACTCTTTTACTGGCTTTCTTTTTTTTTTTTACAAGTGAAAAAAATTTTAAAAGAAAAAAAAAGGGTGCTGCAATGCAAGTACATATGAAGTAATCAAAATCAAACCTCTATGACATAATTAAGGCTAAAAAGACAAAAAATAAAAATAAAAATATAATAAATAATAAATAATAATAATGTTAGCATATATGATACCACGATTTAAGGTATGACTTACCATAATAGCAAAGATTTGACTATGCATATGTTAGCATATATGATAGCCATTATTTATGGAATGACTTACCATAATAGCAGAGATTTGACTATACTATCGAATATGCCATAGAATATGCTTTAGAATAAGTTGTGATTTGATTTAGATTTGATTTAGTTTCCTTTCTTGTAATATGAGCATGTGCTCATTCTATCTATAAATACTAGAGCTGTGAATGAGTAATTCATCTCATTCAAGCCTTTACGCAATTCTCTCCTTTCTCTTCTTTTTATATTTCTACTTGGTATCAAAGCCAACACCTTTCCACACCTTTCAGCAACCTTGCTACTTGTGCGACAGCTACCTTAGGTTGTTTATGACATCGTGTGACGTTACCCACACAGGTTTTTCTATGTTGCTGTTTTGTGATCAAAAACAGGTATTTTTAAGTTTTACAATTTCTTTTTTACTCTTCTAGGGTTGGGTAAATTGGGATAGTTTGTTTCCAACACCTAGAAGGGCTTGGGTCAAAATAAAATAAAATAAAATTCGTCTACAAAGAGGTTCCGGATATTAAGAAGGAGGCTGTCTGGCTATATGTAAGCGGGCAGCGCTCTTTAAAAAAGGTATGTATTTGGATTTTTCGGGAACGGTCTGAGGATGCATTGTTATTGTTTATGGTCTGAGGAGACCCTTTGATATATTAACAGAATTTCTAGTGTTTTTGGAGTTTATTATTGTCGTGTGACGGATTATGGCATATTCAGGGTCCTCGATTGTTAATTCTCTTGGCTCAAGTTCTGTGGGTGGTGGTGCCATTTTTTCCACCAACTCATCAAAAAGTTCAGGACTTTAAATCACCATAGAGAAGTTGGATGGTTCCAACTACTTGATTTGGGCACAGTCTGCCAAGATGTTCATTGGTGGTAAAGGCGAGATTGGCTATATTACTGGTTCTAAGAAAGAACCAGCTGATTGAAAGAAGGCATATCCACAGTGGTTTGCAGATAACGCTATGGTTATGTCTTGGCTAGTCAATTCGATGCAACTAAACATAGTTATTGGCTATATGTTTATAAAGACTGCTAAGCAGATTTGGGATTCAGTTCAACGCACTTATTCTTAAAGGCAGAATAATGCACGAATTTTCCAGCTAAGGCGAGATATCACCAGGATTTCTCAAGGTGACTAGACAGTTTCAGGTTAAGTCGCCAAGCTTCGTGCTATTTGGGAGATGTCATATTATGATTCCTTCCACTCTTGGAAGGATCCAGATTATGCAGTTTTATATGCAGGGATTGTGGAGAAGAATCGACTCTTTCAGTTTCTTGTTGGGTTGAACGACGAGTTTGAGTGTGCTCGTGTTCATTTATTGGGCTTATCTTCATTCCCTACTCTTGAGGATGCATACTACTATGTGTTGTCAGATGAGAGCCGCCGGACTCATCCATTAGGTGTTGCTTCTGTTGATCGTTCTGCTATAGCAGTTCAGGTTCCCAACCTTTCAGGAACTTCACCATCCCAGTCAGTTCAAAGCACTACCATCGGTCCTTCTCTAGGACGACAACGCGGACAGTGTAACCATTGCGGAAAAATTGGTCACATCAAATCTCGTTGTTATGCTCCACATGGACGCCCACCGCAACAGAAAAAACAGCCTCGATCCTCTACACATAATGTTACACAACCAATCTCGTTGTCAACTCCTGACAACCCTGCCTCTACATCTTCTGCCACAGTTACCTTGACTCCAAGTTGATTTGGACAAGTTCAAGCAATTCTTCAACCAAATGGAGGCATCATCTCAGCCAACCTCCACTTATGCCCACTCAGGTACTATTGCGTCTGCACATAGCGTATCTACATCTTTGACACCATGGATCATTGATTCTGGTGCTTCAGACAATATGACGGGTATGTCCTCACTCTTCCAATCTTATAATATCTGCTCTGGCCAACGCAAGGTCCGCCTTGCGGATGGCTCTCCATCTTCCATTACTGGGAAGGGTCACATATCAGTTACTCCTTCATTAACTTTGTCAGATACACTTCATGTTCCAAAGTTGACTACAAATCTTATTTCAGTTAGTAGCGTTACCAAACAATTAAATTGTAGTTTAACGTTCTTTCCCTCTCATTGTATTTTTCAGGATCTGGTGTCGAAACGGACGATTGGCAGTGGGCGTGAAGTGGACGATTTATACCTGTTGGATGCTCCTTTGTCACCTCAAGCACATTCAGCTTCATTTTCTAATATTGTTTCATCTAATAAAGCCCAGCTTATGCGTTAGCACATGCATTTAGGACATATTTCTTTCGGTTATTTGAAACATTTATTTCCTTCCTTATTTTGTAACGTGGCAGTGTCAGATTTATCTTGTGAGACATGTCATATGGCTAAACATGTTCGTTCCAATTATCCTGCTAGTAGTAATAAATCTACTTTAACACCTTTTGATCTTGTTCATTCATATGTGTGGCGTCCTTGCCCAGTTACTTCTAGTCTTGGATTTCAATATTTCGTGTTGTTCATTGATGATCATAGTCGTGTCACATAAGTTTATCTTATGGAAACCAAAAATGAGGTATACACCATTTTTAAAAATTTTATGATAATGATTCAGACTCAATATGGTCGTACCATTAAAAAATTCAGATCTAACCAGGGTACAGAGTACACTTATGGGGAGATCAGATGTCTAATGTTAAAACTCCTCAACAGAATGGTCGTTCTGAGAGAAAGAATCGCCACATCCTTAACTTAGCCAGAGCAATCTGCATTGGCATGAATGTTCCCCAGTCATTTTGGGGAGATGCAGTTCTTACCGCTGTTTACATCATCATCCTTAATAGGACTCCTTCTAGGATTCTTAACTTTACAGCCCTACTCTCAATCTTACATCCCAATTCATCTCTTTTTTTAATTCCTCCGCGAGTCTTCGGGTGTGTGCTTTGTTTAGCAGTTAGGGCAGACTCGTACAAAGCTTGACCCCAAGGCTTTGAAGTGTGTTTTCGGGCTATTCTCACTCTCAAAAAGGTTATAGGTGTTACCATCCTCCCAGTCGTCGGCGGTTTATATCCATGGATGTTTCTTTCTTTGAGCATACACCATACTATAATGGTTCAGTTGGTTCTCAGAGTGAATGGTTCCCATTGAATATAATGGATGATCACCTTCTTCCGTCTTCGACTCCTCTATCGTTACCTATTTCGTCTTCTATGATTCCTCCTCGTGATACCCCTCCAACAGGGCAAATTGTTCCTTTTTCATAGGTTTATAGTCGGAGACAACAGGTACAAACTTTTACTCCCACGATCGACTGCCATGTTCCTTCAGCACTAGCTCCGCCTTCTCAAGCTATTGTTTCGCTTGATGATCGCCCCATTGCTCTTCGAAAGGGTAAACATTCTTGCACATACCCTATTTCTAATTTTGTTTCTGATTATGCTCTCTTACCCTCCTATCGGAGTTTTCTTGTTTCTGTTGCCTCGGTTCCTATTCCTTCTAGCGTTGCAGATGCACTAGCACAACCTCAATGGCGTGATGCTATGATAGAAGAACTACAAGCACTTGAGAAAAATCAAACTTGGGACATGATTCCGCTTCCTATTAGACGAAAGGCTGTGGGTTTTCGTTGGGTGTTTACAGTTAAGCATAATCTAGATGGGTCAGTTGCTCGTTACAAGGCCCGATTGGTTGCCAAAGGTTATGCTCAAACTTATGGCATAGATTATCAGGAGACTTTTGCCCCTGTTGCCAAGATGAATACCATCCATGTATTATTTTTCGTTGCTGCAATTCGATCTTGGCCTCTATTTCAGTTAGATGTCAAGAATGCCGAATGCCTTTCTCAATGGTGATTTGCAGGAGGAGGTGTACATGGTTCCTCCTCCGGGCTTTCGTTCTCCTGCTTATTCTGGTATGGTATGTCGTCTTCATCGTTCTCTGTATGGCCTCAAGCAGTCTCCTCGAGCTTGGTCTGATCGCTTTGGCACTACTATGCTCAAGTTTGGAATCCATCAAAGTGCAGCTGATCATACCTTGTTTTTACGTCATTCAGACGGTAAGACAGTTGCTCTCATTGTGTATATCGATGATATTGTTCTTACCGGGATTGATACTACCGGAATTGATGAGGTTAAGAGCTATCTTGGCCGTCAGTTTGAGATTAAAGATCTTGGTCCCTACGGTACTTCTTGGGCATTGAGATGGCTCGCTCCAAGACTAGCATTTTGATCTCTCAACGCAAGTATGTTCTTGACTTGCTTTCTGCTTCTGGTCAGCTTGGTGCTCGTCCTGCTGATACTCCGATTGAGCAGAATATCAGTTGGCTGATTCTGAGGGGGAGTTGTTGTCAGATGTTAGTCAGTATCAACGACTTGTGGGGAAGCTCATCTATTTATCCATGACTCGACCTGACACTGCTTATGCCATGAGTGTCGTGAGTCAATTCACGCACTCTCCTCGTGCCCCTCACCTTAATGCAGCTATTCGAATCCTTCGCTACTTAAAAGGGTCTCCAGGTCATGGTAATTTGTAGGGCTATGGCTCTTAGGGTAGGTGAGTTGCTTTGGCTGAAAACCTTGATGACAGACTTGTGCCTTCCAGTGTCGCTTCCATTCTCACTCTACTGCGACAACAAGTCTGCCATTAGCATAGCAGCAAATCCCATTCAGCATGACAGGACTAAGCATATAAAGGTGGACCGTCACTTCATTCGAGAGAAGATCATCTCTGGTTAAATTTGTACTCCATTTGTCACAAGCTCTCAGCAGCTTGCAGACATTCTTACAAAGGGCGTCAGCAAGATTGTGTTTGAGAATGCATTGTCCAAGTTGGGCGTTTCGGATATCCACATGCCAACTTAAGGGGGAGTGTTATTTATGGAATGACTTACCATAATAGCAAAGATTTGACTATGCTATAAAATATATCATAGAATATGTTTTAGAATAAGTTGTGATTTGATTTAGATTTGATATAGTTTCCTATCTTGCAATATGAGCATGTGCTCATTTTATCCATAAATACTAGAGCTGTGAATGAGTAATTCATCTCATTCTCTCCTTTACGCAATTCTCTCCTTTCTCTTCTTTTTATATTTCTCAATTCTTTACCAAATAATAATAATTACGACTCAAGTACCATGTTATTTATGAACTTCAAAAAGTTTCCAATTAAGGATTCATCCTTTCCAGCTTGCGACAAACAATTTATCCAAAAAAACTGCTTTTCAACCTATAAACCGCATCCTTCTCTTCATCAAAAGGATGGTAGCTATGTTCCCTCCAAACACACCACCTAAGGTAATGGTGCTGTTTAGTCAACCACATACCATGATGGGATGTTAATAGCTTAGATATAACACAAGATGAAAAATGAATAATCACATTGCAGTAGCAAGTCTCAGCAAATATCATACTAATTGACAAATGCCAGTCATTTTGAGACTTGGGTGCCTCAGAACCAAAATTTCATTATTTTGTTCCTTGTTCTCTATTTTCTGTTATCAATGTGCATCTGTTCACGGTGAAGTTTGCATTATTGCAGCAACCAGACAGCAAATGTGAGCCCCTTTCCACATCAATATTCTTTATAGAGTGCCATCTTTAGTACATAATTAATTATTAGATCGCAGACACAGTGTTTCGACATATAAAGCAAACTCCAATTACATGATTCATTCCCAGATAGATGATTCATTCCTAAACTATACATGGTTACAATTACCTCATACAGACTATTGCAAAGACTTTTTATTTCACTTTGACGTAACTTCATGCATCATGACATCTCATAAGATCCATACGTTATACCATCTGAAAAAGTATTTGTTTCAAAAAATAATTAAAACTCATTTATAACATTTCTATTGCTAGGGAAAAGGCATCATCATAGCATTTGATAAAAAAGAATAAGACCAATGATAGAGATTTCTGATTAGTTTCAAGCATGTTCAAAGGGAGTCGTGAGTCTCGTGACTAAATGAATTATTATTTTCAGGATTGAATAATTAACAGCTAATGATTCATGAATTTATCTGACTTCTTAGAAGACAATAAAAAAACAACTTCCAAAAACAGCAAGGCAAAAGGTTCAAAAATGAAAGGAAGACAGCTCCTTGTTCTTCCTACCCCAAGATGCAACAGAATGCATTACAGAAGCTGATAAGCAAAATAATCAAATAAAATTTCCTTCATCTACTGAAAGTGCTCACGCACCTTATGAAGCAGCTTCGACCGATCTGAAATGCTTGCTGTATTATGACTATCAACTAACTTCCCTGCAAACTTATGTTTTGATCGAGAGCATATTTTTGAAATTTTAGAGAAAATGAAATTATTAAACCTGTAAAAAGTAAACACACCCAAACAAATGCTTATATTATCACTGCATTCTTTGTCATAAAATAAGGAAAAGTCAACAAAGAATCGCCAACAATACCTCATTTTTCTACCCAAAGCATTCCTATAACCTCTTTCAGCTTCAAATGTTATCCCATTTCTCAAGCATTCGTCACTGAAGCACTGAAAAAGCATTTATTCTTTATGTCAGATTCTTTTGTAGAGTTTGGTGAGAGGAGAATATAGCTTTTACATGTACCTTGTGTATACTTCTGTGTACATGAATGCGCCCTTTTTGGTGCCTTCTAATAATGCTTTTACTTAACTGAAACCCACAAAAAAATAAAAATCAAATAAAATAAAAAAAATTAAAGAACAGAATCAAGTGCTTCAAAGGATATACCCAAGTGAGATTTCAACCCTAACTTCTCAATTCATACAATGCTAGAAACTGGACCGTTCAACCAAACCCATATCAGGTCAACCAGGTCATTGGTTGAATTGGCTGGTTCAAGTGATCCTAGAAGAACACGAGAGAGAGAGAGAGAGAGAGAGAGAGAGAGAGAGAGATAGAGAGAGAGATCTTTTCAAAAATAAACATTGTGGGGTTCTAAAAATCCATAATAACAACCAGATGACACAATCTATAGTCTTCTTGGTTCACTTACAGCCCTAATCATGTAGAAGTAAGTCCTCAAAGCCTCCATCAAAGAAACAATGCTACGCAAAAAATCATTTGCAATCCTCACCTTCTTAGAGCTCTAACCCCCACAATAAGACCATTCTCTTGATGAAATCTACCAATTTTGTTTCTGAATGCTATCCAGCCCAACTCAATAGGCACTATGCCCAAGTCACAGTTCTCCACAAACTCTATTTTCGTAACAAATGTGCAAAGATGTGTGCCCAAAGGGCTTGATTTGTTTTCATTGGAGGCATAATGCAAGCATGCCCACCTCTAATGACTTCAAAGTTCAAAGAGAGCTAGGCCTGCAAATGAACCAAGTTATTCAGGCTCAGCTTGTGTTCATTCCTTATACAAATGAGCCCAGCTTGAGCTCATTTTTAAAGCTTGTTTAACAAATGAGCCAAGCTTGAACAATGATGAGCATGCGTTGCTAGGTTCATGAACAAGCTCTTTATCAAAGGCCCATTATAATTCTAATTCTTATATTTCAAGCTATGTGCGGTGGGTGTTGGCTATGTGGCAGTGTATGCTAAAAAACAATCTTTGTCAACATTATTTTTTTATCACTCTCTAATTTTAGAACAGTTCAATGACTAATTCAAAGGAATTAGGAATGGGTTCGATTATAAAGTTTTAGAGAGGAAATAGAATTTTTAGGGAGAGAAAAAACTAGGCATAAAAGGGATCTCTATTAGTCTATTTTAAATTTATTTATGTGAGTGTATCTTAGTAAAATTATACTAACCGTTAGCCTAGTTAGCGGTCAGTCACTGACAAGGGAGGTCAATGTTACAAGGTTTGTTTTTTAGGGGAGGTCGGAGTAATTTTTGAAATCGGGAGGTATGTGAAATTATGGGAGAGGAGATAAGTGTAATTTTTCCTAAAATAATAATATAATATATTATTCCATACGCAAATAAATTGATTTTTGCTCAATTTATCCACATTATCATAAATGTAATCCCTACTTTCGAGCTAAGAGCTGGATGGGTGATTTTTTGTTTTGCTGAACCTTCATACTCCCTCCGTCCCAATTTAAGTGTCGCTTTTGGGGAGCAGTAATTTTTAAGGGGACATGTGGGACATGCAGTGTCTCCCTGAAAAGTTACTAAATTGCCATTTTAAGTTTTGAATATTCAAGTTTGAAATTTAAAACTCAAAGGACATATATGGAAAGATGTGAAATATATTGTTTGAAAAATGAAAGTGGACACTTATTTTGGGACAGACGAAAAAGGAAAGCATGACACTTATTTTGGGACAGAGAGAGTATTATTTTTCTATTAATCCATATGTTTTAAAATTGCATTGGAGCCCTATTTTTTTAAATAATTGCAAAACTCTCTCGCCCTGTCCAACAGTGTCCCAAAAGTGTCCTTAACGTGTCCAGACCTTGTCCATGTCATATCCCAAAAGTGTCCATGTCGTGTCCTAACCGTATTCAAACAAAAAGAAAAAGTTCAAACTCCAATACTATGTTTGGTTGGAGAGAAAGATTAAGGAGGGATGGATGAGAGGGGGGAAACAAAGACTTTTTTGTGTTTGGTTGGAGGGAAGCAGGGATTACTTCGTATTTTTCTATCCGCCCAAAATGGGGGGAAGAGGAGAGAGAGAGAACGGATAATTACCACAAATATGTAATTTCCATTTTAACCTTTCCAAAAATTTGAAATTGATATCTAATTTTTATAATTTTATATAATGAGGGTATATTGGTAAAAATAATATAAAAACTCTCTTTCCCTTCCTTCTAACCCAAAAAAAAAAAGTGTCACCCCATCCATCTTTTCTACTATCCATTCCATCCAACCAAACAAAAAGTGAGATGAGATTCAGAGGAATTTATCGTGGGGGTCGGGGGTAAGGATTGAGAATTCAAACACCACTTGGTTAATTGGGATAGAGTGCGCTCCCCAATCAAAAAGGGAGGTTTGGGGATTCAAAGGTTTGATCTTTTTAACAAGGATGGCTTTGGAGGTTTGGGAGCGAGAGAGCCGGATTATGGAGCAGGGTGACTGCTTGTCGATGCGGCAAGGGAGACAGAGGTTGGTTGTCTAGGGAAGTGCAGTCTCCAGTGGGTTGGAAGCAAATTCGAAAGGGCTGGGACGAGTTCTCCAAACGAATTCAGTTCAGAGTTAGGAGTGGGAGGATTCTGTTTGGGGATTTAGTTTTGGCTCAAAGGTTCCCTTAGCTTTTCAGGATCTCAATGAACAAGCATGCTTTGGTGGCTGACTGTTATCAGTTCTGTTACATGGACTCTTCAAAAGTAGCAAAGTACCTGTGTCGGACACATATCCCTCTGACATGGGTATGGGATGTGTCCAACACTTTTGGTTGGACATGTACTTAAAAAGCATATTCAATCATTCAGTTACATTATATTATTTCTTTAAAATGAGTTAAATGTCTATATTGAACATTATATTAGATAAAAACATTATTGTACTCTAAAAAATAAAATAAAATGAATATTTAACCGTGTCCGTGTGTCCTTCTATTTGGAGATTTGACATGTCCAACGCATGGATACTATTAGCATATATGATATCCACGATTTATGGAATGACTTACCATAATAGCATAGATTTGACTATACTATAGAATATGCCATAGAATATGCTTTAGAATATGTTGTGATTTGATTTAGTTTCCTTTCTTGTAAAATGAGCAAGTGCTCTTTTTATCTATAAATACTAGAGTTGTGAATGAGTGATTCATCTCATTCAAGCCTTTACACAATTCTCTCCTTTTTTCTCTTTTTATATTTCTACTTGGTATCAGAGCCAACACCTTCCACACCTTTCAGCAGCCTTGCTACTTGTGCGACAGCCACCTTAGGCTGTTTGTGACATCGTGTGACGTTACCTACACAAGTTTTTCTGTGTTATGTTTTGTGATCAAAAACAGGTATTTCTAAGTTTTACAATTTCTTTTTTACTCTTCTAGGGTTGGGTAAATTAGGATAGTTGGTCTCCAACACCTAGAAAGGCTTGGGTAAAAAAAAAAAATTAGTCTACAAAGAGGTTCCGGATAATAAGAAGGAGGCTGTCCGGCTATATGTAACTGGGCAGCGCTCTTTAAAAAAGGTATGTATTTGGATTTTTCGGAAATAGTCTGCGGAGACAATGTTATTGTTTATGGTCTGAGGAGACCCTTTGATTTATTAACAGAATTTGTGGTATTTTTGGAGTTTTTTGTTGTCGTGTGACAGATTATGGCAGATTCAAAGTCCTCGACTGTTAATTCTCTTGGCTCAAGTTCTGTGGGTGGTGGTGCCATTTTTCCCACCAACTCATTAGAAAATCCAGGACCTCAAATCGCCACGGTGAACTTGGATGGTTCCAACTATTTGATTTGGGCACAGTCTGCCAAGATGTTCATTGGTGGCAAAGGCAAGATTGGCTATATAACTGATTCTGAGAAGAACAAGCTAAGTCAAAGAAGGCATTTCCACAGTTCTTTGCAGATAACGCTATGGTTATGTCTTGGCTAATCAATTCGATGCAACCAAACATAGCTGTTGGCAATATGTTTATGAAGATTGATAAGCAAATTTGGGATTCAGTCCAACACACTTATTCTTAGAGGCAAAATAATGCACGAATTTTCCACCTAGGGCGAGATATCACCAGGATTTCTCAGGGTTATTTAACAGATTCAGGTTACATCGCCAAGCTTCGTGCTATTTGGGAGGAGATGTCATATTATGATTCCTTCCACTCTTTGAAGGATCCAGATAATGCAGTTTTATATGCAGGGATTGTGGAGAAGAATCGAGTGTTTCAGTTTCTTGCCGAGTTAAATGAGGAGTTTGAGTATGCTCGTGTTCATTTATTGGGCTTATCTTCATTCCCTACTCTAGAGGATACATATTCCTATGTGTTGTCAGATGAGAGCCGTCGGACTCATCCATTAGGTGTTGCTTTTGTTGATCATTCTGCTATCGCAGTTCGGGTTCCCAACCTTTCAGGAACTGCACCATCCTAGTCAGTTTAAAGCTTTACCACCGGTCCTCCTCTGGGATGACAACGCGGACAGTGTGACCATTGCGGAAAAACTGGTCACATCAAATCTTGTTATCATGCTCTCCATGGACGCCCACCGCAACAGAAACAACAGCCACAATCCTTTACACATTCTGTTACACAACCAGTCTCATTGTCAATTCCTGACAACCCTGCCTCTACATCTTTTGCCACAGTTACCTAGACTCAAGTTGATTTGGACAAGTTCAAGCAATTCTTCAACCAAATGGAGGCATTATCTCAGCCAACCTCCACTTATGCCTACTCAGGTACTATTGCATTTACACATAGCGTATCTACACCTTCAACATAATGAATCATTGATTCTGGTGCTTCAGACAATATGACGGGTATGTACTCACTCTTCCAATCTTATAGTATCTACTCTGGCCATCGCTAGGTACGTCTTGCGCATGGCTCTCCATCTTCCATCGCTGGGAAGGCACATATCAGTTACTCCTTCATTAACTTTGTCAAATACACTTCATGCTCCACAGTTGACTACAAATCTTATTTATGTTAGTAGCATTACCAAACAATTAAATTGTAGTGTATCGTTCTTTCCCTCTCACTGCATTTTTCAGGATCTAGTGTCGAAACGGACGATCGGCA